AAACCGTTTGTGTCTGTAAAATGATTTGGCTCCTCATACTATCCTGCCGGCGATTGGAAGCTTGCAAGCTTCCTGGAATCGATTGGCGAGAGGGAAGGCTAGAATGAACTTCTGGAGGAATTCACAAAATGAGTACTTTCACTTTGATTTCATGGAATAAAACCCCAAAAGGGGAACTAGAATGCTTGACATGGTCTTCACCCTGGTGTCAGTCTACCGATGTTGGCTTTGGAAGTCTGTTGATTTCCCTTTCAAGTTACTTGTGTTGCTGTGGAACATGTGGCGTCCGCATCTTTTCTACAGAAAAGGTGCTCGGGTGTTCGGTTGTAACTTGTCAGTGACCTACAATCTGCTTCCCGGGCAAACTTGTGGGTACCTCAAGTACAGTTGATGCCCCACATATCGAAAGTATGGCAAGAAAGCCTCTAATTTTAGCATCGTGTTGTGGTCGCAGGTTGGTTTACTTGCATCTTTTCGTTGGCATCCGAACAGTGCACTCTCGCTGTAAACGAGGGTCGCGGACCATTGAGCTGCTGCTAGTAAAGTGGTGCCCGGCATGGCACCAAGGCTAAAACCCATGGCTAAAGCAATGGCTAAAACCCATGGTGTACTGCTATTATATGGAAACAAGTGGGCTAAGACATTTGTATGTAGGTTATTTAGCCCAACCATTCCAGGCCTTAGATCTCTTCGCAGGAAGAAGGCAGCGGAGCAGCAAGAGGTCGCCAATAAGCGGGCGCTTCGGCGGCAAAAGGAAGAGCACGGGACTGCTCATGGCCATGCGCAGCTTCTATGGTAGCACCAGGATGTGTTTGTTTGTTTGTTTTGATTGACTGAGTTGGTTGATTGGTTAAGGATGGATGGATTGTTTGGATGATTGGTTGCTTGCTTGCTTGCTTGCTTGCTTGCTTGCTTGCTTGCTTGCTTGCTTGCTTGCTTGCTTGCTTGCTTGCTTGCTTGCTTGCTTGCTTGCTTGCTTGCTTGCTTGCTTGCTTGCTTGCTTGCTTGCTTGCTTGCTGGTTTGCTAGGCTATTGTTTGTTGGTTGGTTGATTTGCTGGTTTGTTGGATTGTTTGTCTGCTTCGTTTGTTCGCTCGTGTTTGTTGGCAAGTTTTCCGCAAAAGCGACCTCTTTGGTCGATCCGCCAAGCGCCTGGATAAGTTTGAGCGCGGGCGCTGGTTGCTGGAGGCTTTCGGGCGGGTTCAGGGAGTTGTCCGGATCATGATCCAAGAAGACAAAGCCTCAAACCAATGAGGACCTGAAGGCTGGGTCACTCAACACCACATCCTTCTTGTGCAATTACTGCCTCCACGGTGGGCCCCGCAAATCTCAGGCAAGACTTGGTGCCTTGAACCAGCAGTCAGTCAGTGTCTGGCTTTCTGGCCTGGCCGAAGGGCTCACTCAGCGCTTCCTGGGCCATCTTTGTGTGAATCCGGTGCCCAATTCTCTTGATGCGCAGGTCCCCCAGCGAGCTAATCAACACCTGGCAGACAAGGGCTCCCGAAATCCGTGGGCAAATCAAAGCGAATTGCCTTTCCATTCTCGTGAGGGGGGCCGACGCCCAGTTTAACTAATTATTCTTGGCAGGTGGTGTCGCACTTTCTAGGCAGGTGGTGTTGCTCTTTGTTTAGTCGGCGTTTTGTTCAAGTCTCGAAGCAAATCGCGCATCACATATTGGCAGGGTGCAAGAGCAAAGTTGTTTATTGGCATGCAAGGGCCCCCATAAAATATATTAAATCATAAAACAAAACAACAAACAACTAGATGTTCCTCCAAAACCAGGCAGATGCTGAGATGACCGCTGTCTCCGCTGAGGCGCAGATGGCCGAAGAGATTAAGGACATGGAGAGGCGTCGGGTTTTCGCGGCAAAATCACATGTGGGTCAGAATGAATCCAGGGGATTGCAGGTTGTAGTCCATGTTTTCATTTTACTAGGGTTCCATTTTGGGTACCTAATTTTGACCCACAGCCTGCCAAGTTGCTGGAAAGCAAGTCGCTGAAGGTGAGACCCCGAAAGGGAACCCATTCACTCAAAACTGGAGGCAAACTCGGTGAATTCCGGGAGTAAGAAAGTGGTTAGCAAACTGACAGACCCATCTTACCCAAATTCCGACGGTCTTAGGGGGTCAGCTGACCAGGGGTGAGTAACCCTGCTCCAAAATGATGCAAGGTTAGCAACCATTTACCTATTTTATGCCGAGCTCACCTGGGGGTCAAACAAGCTCACCATGATAAAGATCCTTTACTTGAGGATCCCTGAATTCAAAATTGAAATTGTTGCAAGATTTGCAGAACCATTTCGCCAACCCGCTGACCATCCAAGTGGCGCAAGACATCTTCAAGTTGAGCGGCCCAGATTGGCCCAGGCAGCTCAATGAGCTGGAGCTACGATAAAACGGCCGTGGGACCCAGGGGCCCATTCGACGGCGGTGGTTTTACAGAGTCCGCTTCGCAGTTGGTGGCTTCTTAACCAGTATTCATCGGGTTTGGGATTTGCCAACAGGTGCAAAGTGGATTTTGTGGATTGGGTCCATCGACGTGGTGGCATTTTGTGGGGGGTCTCAAAACTCTCCTTTAAACCACCATGTACAGTGTTGGTTTCAGAGGTAACCTCTATCCCACCGATTGACGGCAAGAGGGTCATTTCGAAGATGTCACTTCCCTGTCGGATTTGAAGGCAGGCTTTTGGAGCTTTGGCAGGCCAATCCAAAGCTTTTGGTCTTAGACCATTCGGAGTTTGGATGGATCCGCTTTGGGTTGGCAAATGCCTTGGGCGGCACCCAGGCCCTCTTGGCACCTCTATGGCGCTTCAGATCTGCACCGTTTGGGCAGGTGATGTTTTGTTCTGCAGGTGGTACCCTCGCCGTACCCTCGCCTCCCCCCCAACAAAACAGAAAGCTGCCCGGCTTTGGCAAGGCCTGGGCGTTCCCCCGAAACCTGTCTGGGATGAAAACTGCTGTCCGTGCTGCAAGCTCCTTCCCACGACCCCCGACATCCATTGAGCTCTTCCACCTCCTCTTACAGGTGCTATATTTGCGGAAGGGGTAGGACATTGGTCTGGTGCCTTTCTGGGCTTCCCTGCCCGGCGCCAAGATCTTGTGCCAGAAGAATGTGGCAACATCGACGGAACAGACAGACCATCATAGTGAAAAGGAGGCGGTTACAACCATAGCGGTCAAGTAATTGCCACCCTGAACCAAAGCCTTTTCTTCTGCCCCCTTTTAAAGGGGTCTCTTTTGAAAGCAGGGTCGAGACTTGGGACGCCGTTTCTTCTTTGGCACGTGTTTTTTGCGGCCCATTCTGTACGCCAAAGTGAGGCAATTGAGGGTTCCATTGAGACTTGGGGATGAGTGCAATTCGGGCAAATCGAGCTTTCGCTGTGTCGCTTTCTGAGGTGGTCAAGAAATGGGTCTGAATTCTTGCAGCACTGCATGAAAATTTTCCAGACCTCTTTTTGCAGGGGAGGCGGGCTGAGCTGCAAGTTGTTCAAGCGCCTTGCGCAAAGCAGAACATGCAGGAACGACCTCATACAGTTCATGCCGAACATATCCCGAATCCCTACGCCGAACCGCTTTTAATTACACGCCGCAGGGCACAAGATGGCTGTCTTGCACGTGTACAAAGAAATGGCATTAGCATGCTTTCGCTGTCAATATGAGCCCCGGAATGCGAGCGGCAACGTGAAGACCACTTGCCGCTCAAACAAAAACCCTCGACACTACGTAGAATTGGGGGAGGGGGCATTTCGATTTCTGGTGCCATGATCCAGCAAAATGGAATGAGGCACCCCCCCCTCACCCGGGTAGAGTTGTGGTGTTTTCAGTTCTGACACGTGCTTTTCACGGGCGTTCCGTGTCATGGGGCGTGTCTTGATGCCCATGCGCGGGGGGTGTGGCCAATTTTGAGGGATCCTTATGGATCGCTTCCTTTTGCTGTCTTTTGAAACCATCTGCAACGGGGTCCCCATTTGTCGGACACACCCAGACCCCGTGCACGCAGCCACTGACTCGGACTTGACGGGCGCAACCTTGTATCACACTCACCCAGGTAGAGTTGATGTGGTGTTTTCAGTTCTAGCACGTGCTTTTCACGGGCCATGCGGCGTGTCTTGATCGCCCATGCGCGGGGTGTGTGGCCAATTTGAGGGATCCTTACAAATGGATCGCTTCCTTTTGCTGTCTTTTGAAACCACATCTGCAACGGGGTCCCCATTTGCCGAACACCCAGACCCCGTGCACGACCACTGACTCGGACTTGAAGGGTGTTGGCGCATGTTGGCGCAACCTTTTATCACACTCACCCAGGCACGTGCTTTTCACGGGCGTTCCGCGTCATGGGACGTGTCTTGATCGCCCATGCGCAGGGGGTGTGCCCAATTTGAGGGATCCTTACAAATGGATCGCTTCCTTTTGCTGTCTGTTGAAACCACATCTGCAACGGGGTCCTCCTTTGTCGGATACACCCAGTCCCCGTGCACGCAACCACTGGACACAGATTTGACAGGCGTTGGCGCAACCTTGTTTCACACTTTCTTTAAGCATTTCACTGTGCTTGGCAAAACAAGTGTCCGAGCTCGTTTGTTGCATCCTGAAAATATGTTGGGGCAGTTTCGGGCCCTATTCTTTGGTGATCTTTGGTGCTTTCGAGGCTGGGCAACAACTGTTTGAGGCACGGCACACCAATTTGACTCCATGCAAAGATGGCCACACACATGAAATTTGTTTCACTTTGGGGGGGGCAGGGCGGCCAATAATTGTTTGCTTGTGCTGTTAAATTTTTGTGTCAGTGACCACGATCCTCAACAACCTGGAAAACACTCTTGGGCATCCAGTTGGTTGAAAGAACCATTCACACGTTTATTTTGCAGAACTTAGTTGACTGCGCTTGTTCCTGTTCAATAGTCTCGGTGGATGGCGAGCCTTTTGGGGGTGGGGTTTCCTTCTCCGATTGTTTTTTTTTGTTCTTCATGGGGGCTGACAACAATCCCAGCCTCGTGTTACAGGCACTCGCCTGCTTGCTGGCTCAAGCGGCACCTCAGAAAACTGCGTAACAAGCAGGCTGGGACGATTGCTTGTATGCATCTCCTGTGCCCGCTTGAAGAAACTGTTTGTTATCTTTGTGTTTTGGCAGAACCGTTTAAATCAATTTTTGTTGGCGCTGTCCAAGGGGGATGGTGAGCCCTACGTAGCAGGTTCCTCCTTGACCAGAGAATGTGGCCAGTTGACCTGTCCGCACACCCCTTCAAAGACGATATCGTTGGTTGCAGACATTGCTGTGCATGGAACCTCCACGTGAATTTGCAGCGGCATTTGGCTATGTGCGAAAACAAAAATTGTTTGCAGATGATTGAAACGGGTTTTAAGGCAATTTCAAGTATTTTTACTGGTCGCAAATCGTTTCAGCATTATAGGGTGGTGCGGATTGGGATCCTATTTGTTGCAAGTCTGTTGGTTCCCTTGTTCGCTCTAAAAAATCGTTCCTGTGACACAAAAACATTTGCCGTGAGGTTTTGCCATTTTTGGATTGTCGCCCAAATACGTCATCACACACTCCTCCAGCTCTAATCACTGCCCAATTTGTTTTTTGTTGTCGTATCGGTTGTGTAAACATCACATCTGGGGTCTTGCAATTATATGCCATGTGAGACCTTCTCCGCTTGGGCCGACGTTATGCATGTTTGCATGACGCTTGCAAGACGCTAGGAGATTGCCGGCGGCTGGCACCGGCTTTGCAGCGTGCAGCTGGGCGGATTGGCCAGTGCACTGTAAGGAAATGTCTCAGCATCGCTGGGGATCACTTTGTGGATCCATTTTAGCAAGACATTCTCGCCAGTACACTCTAGAAAGCGGTTTAAAGGGAAAGAGTCCGAAAGTGACGCATCCACAGCGCACTCCAGTGTGCTGCTCACAACTGGGCAACTTGACACTGTCCATTTTTTAGCCCACCGGCACTAAAGGCAAACAGAGCCAAACATAGGGAGAGAGAGAGAGCGAGAGAGAGAGGGGAAAAACATCAAACACAGAAAAGCACTTGGCGGCTCCCAGCCAATCGTCCGGTTCCTGAGGTTCGGAGGTCTTGCGTTGGTCTGGTGGGGGTTTCCATTCAGCCCACAAGTTAGGCGTTCAGCAAGGGATTGGTTTGGACAGCCCAGAATAGGAGAGAGTGAGTATTCACCGGTTCCCCTGGTTGACCTGATACGTTATATCTCAGCTGTATCTCTGGGAGTGCGTCACTTTTGAACCTGGGATGGGAATTCCACGGAAGTTGGCCATGTTTACTGGTTCAAAAATCTGCAACCCTTACAGTAAACATTTTGAGTTCTCCAAGTTGCTTGCGGGGAGGTTGTGTTGTGACATCCATTTGTACACCCCTCACTTAAGGTCATGTATGTTACTGAGTGAAACCTGTGATCCAACACTTCGCTATGAATGTTTGTGGGATTTTTTTGTCCCAGCCTGTGGACAACAAACCCCACAGAATGTACAAAGGGTGCAGCCAATGTAAATTCACTCAGTTGGGGCATGGTATATCCTACATGGACCCTTAACTGTGTGGTGTTCCTTGGGTTTCCGCAGGATCCCGCTTTTGTGCCTGTATCCAGTCAACTGTCATACTCTTACCCTTGATTTTGGGTACAGGGTCTGGAACAAAACAAAAGTTAAACACGAAGACCCATGTTTTTTTTCCCCCCTTGGTATACAATTCCTTAATTCATTTGAAAGGGGTGACGAATACACGACCAAAAGGAACAACCAGCATCCAGGAAAGAACACTTACAAATCAATTCATTTGTTGGTGTCCGAATCAAGGAAAATCCGAATGAACGGTTGCCATGGCAGTTGCATCCAAGGCCTTGCAGCTGATGTCATATGGTGCCGCACTTGGATGCGGGCTCACGAACCGCACCGCGAAGTGGATGCTCCGGTTGCTTTTCTTTTGGTTCGCTGGGAGAATCGGTGGGTTTTTACGGGAAATCACGGATTACGGGTGCGGCACCGGCCCACTTACCCCAGCCAAGCACTTTTTTTTGGCTGAAAACGACGGCTTTTTTTCGTGGGTCTTGGAGACCTGAGGTATTTTTCATGACCGGTGAGCCCAAAAAAAAGCGTCATTTTCTTGGTGCCTTTGGAATTGAAGGATGCTGGAAAATTCGGGGAACATGCCCTAAACCCTACGCCCAAAACCCCAAGACCTAAACCCTAAAACCCCAAGCCGCAAACCCTAAACCCTAAACCCCAACATGTCCTTGAGTTACTGTTTTCACATCCCTTTCTCTCAGCCTGGCTGACGAGAAGGACTTCGCTTCCGGAAGCCACGGTGTTCCTCTCGGCTCCAAAGGACACCTTTTGCTCTCATTGCCCACAGATGGATCGGTGCTCGGAACCGAACTGGTGGTTCTTTTCGGGTTTGGTCAGAAATAGCTGGGCAACCCAGGGGTTGATGCCCCATTGGCCAGGGGGTCAATGTTATTTTGCCAAAAGGAACCATGGCCAGTTACAAGCCTTTCTTGGTTGTCTCTGTGATAGTTTTATTTTTTCTTTCCGGTGGTATTGTTCTCAGTGCCTTTTGGATAGGCAACTTCAAAATGAGTTGCCGCGAAACGGGGTGACTGGAGCAAATAGGAAATTATGATCCGGTACGTTTGAGTGTCGGAGCTGCAGACATGCGATTGAACAATGTATCGACAATATCTGAATTGTGTCCTGCACCATGATGTTCTATCCCCACTGAGTAATGTATGGAAGGGGGGGCATTCCTTACGTGTTCCATAGCACAATGCATGATTGCCCGCTTTAGACCAGTTGAGTGCCTTATCATGCATGGTTGTTTCAACATATTTTGGCTCAAAGGTAGAAGTTGTTGCTGCTTATGGCGCTGATTTTGTCCAGCTCCCTCATCTCTTTGTTTTGAAAATGGTTTTTACCTCGTTTAGTTGGTCAAATCCATGTAAGGTTGCAAAGCTCAGTGCTTGGCATGCTGCAAGCGCCGACGCACATCCGGCGGTTTGAGCACATGAGAAGCAAGCTCAGCGAGCACGTCGAAGCGGCACGCATGAGCGCGGCGCAATGGCCGGTGACGCGCCAAGCGCCAAGGCGCACCAGAATTGAGCCACAATCAAAACCCGGGTAATTGGAGGGTAGTAAGGGAGAATCCCAGCCATAAATAGCTGCGGAATTCCGCCTTCTTGATTCTTTACATGGTTCTGGGTCGACCATTTTTGTACCAGGTGTTGATTATGATTCAATTGTAGTTGGTGCGGCCTTTGACTTTCCAAAAATATTCCCAGCTGTCAGGTAGGCCGGTAGGCCTTAGCTGGTTGGTTTGGATGGCAACTGGGGTTCACCCCTGTTGTGGAGAAATGGGAAGCGATTCTGCCAAGGAAAGGATCTGGCCTTCCATGAACCACGCTTCTTGAACGATACGCTTCTTGAAAGGAAAGAACCAGAACATGTTTGGTTTTTCTTCCATAGGAAATGCTCACATTCACGGTGTGAAGCATCGTTTTTTGGAAAATGATCATACTCCATAAGGAAGCCAAACGCTGCACCCCCAAGCAAGTTTCTCAGCACTTTTCTAGTGGGTACAGACCACAGGAGCCCTGCCTAATGCTCCCCTGTCACCAGGAAAGGTTCTTTGAACCTTCTTAGTTCTTGGAGAATTCTGAGAACCAGTCTGGTGATCGAATGGCCTCTGAGTAGCCCACTCGGGCTGGCATTCGCCTTGAACAATGGGTCCAAACGCCACGTACCCATTCATAAGTCCCAAAATCGAGCAACCTAGGGTACTCACCTGGCTATGGGTCAAACATGCGTACCCAAAATAGAACCCTGGCAAATGGAACCAAAGACTAAAACCTGCGGTCCCCTGGTGGTTGTATTTTGACCCATACCCACCTCTTAAAGTAGCAACTTCGCAAGAAACACGGTATTTGGTTCTCGCTCTCCGTTCCCCCGCTGGCCCTCCCCCCAAAAAGTCAGAATGAGGCACGAGGGTTTGATTGGAGGAAAATTGCGCAGGGAGTTTGGGCGGAGTGGCATCCCACAAGGTTTCTATGGTCCATTTAGGCACATGGACGACCCACCAAAAGGCAACCAGAAAAGTGAAGGGGGGACGGAATCCCATTTTTTCCCATGCGGACTATGGGAAGCAACGTACGTGTGATGGTTAAAACACGTTTGCTTGGGGGTGGTAGGGCTGGTCATGGACTTTCACGATAGGAGGGTTTTGACCGTTCATAGTTTGACCAGAAAACACGTTTGCAGCGCTGGGGCTTCCAGTTCTAGGGTTGGGGGTGCCACTTTCGATAAGGACTCGCGTCAAAAACAGGCGGTTTTAGAGTCATTGTCAGCGGGAAGCCACCAAGTTGCTATTCATGGTTTTCCACAAGCGTTGTTTTATTTGTGGGTTTTTAAGCGGTCCCCCCCAAAATGGTGGTGTCTCATTTGGTGTCCCTTTAAAAACGCACACACACACACAAAAAAAAAGAAACAGGCACCCTGAGGAAATTATTTTTCCGAATGGAGGATGTTTTGTTCATTTGATTTGTGCAAATTATACGCGAACCTGGCATCCAGGCTGCAGCGGAGCAGCTCTTGAATTCGATCAGGAGGCTCGGTGGGTTTGCTGTGCGTTTTCTCCCAAACATGGGGGAGTGTCAATTTTTAAGGGTTCCCCTTGTTGGAAGTCTATATGTGAAACCAAACGGACATCCCATGAAAAGACAAAACGAGCCGCCCGCATGGAGTCTGGGTAGACTTGGGATACATTTTACATTTTTACCAGTGACTCCATGTGAAGCAAACAATAAAATATACATTCTATAACTGGGCCTAAGTCGAATCATGTGCTGAGACGGCAGAGTATGCGTGTGCTGTCTCCAAAAAGTTTTACGTTCTCGCGGGTAGGCAACATATGAAACATAATTGAAACATATGATGCTCTGTGGATCCCAGATGTGGGCCACGGCATGCCCTTCTAATCCTTTTTGCAATATCCACATACATCCCTTAGGGTTAGGTTGATACTCATGAGGTACTGTACCCCTTGAAAGAGGCAGGTTGTTCCAAAGTATCCTTTGGGAGTTTCCGTATCGCGGCTAAACAACTAGACCCTCAAACTTTCGAACAGGCCAGGGGTCGTCAGCGGTCCTAACCCGGGCTCCTCATAGTTTTTTTTTTTTGTTTTTTTTCCGATTCGGATGTGGAAACATACTTGGCACCAACGCGTGGGTTTTTGTTCTTATTAAATGAGGACAAGAACGACGGTACTTGGGCTTTGCTCAACAGCCACTTTTGATGTTTTCTACCGAAACTGGATGGATCGTTGGAGTGTGCAGGACCCGATTTAGCACCCGGATTCGGACCGTCGGACGATGCTGAGGTTGCAAGCCTGCTCTGCGGTGGTGCAGAGCTCATTGGTTGAGCCCCGGCAGCCTGGTAGCCAAAGAAGCCCTTGCGTTTGCTTATAGGCTGGTAAATGCTGGTAATAAAATATATGTCTTCGTTTTCCGTGTTGGTTTTGAAGTGATGCTAGCACTTGTGGAAAAGTGTGGAAATATTTTAAGTTTTTCCAGGGGGCTCAAGCAAATGGAACACCCCCACGACAATTCTGCACAAGTGACCCATCAACAGGGAGGTTCAAAGTGATGAGAACCCCTGTAGGATGGGCCTGTTTTTTGCTCAAAAAGTGACAGATTTCGGGCAATCTGCAGGAAATCAGGGGCTTTTGGTCCGAAGGGTCTCAAAAAACTGTTTCCAATTCTAAACCCTCGAGCTTAAACACTTGGTTGATTTGTAGACTCAGTATCACCCACCGGTTTTTGTGTCAACTTGCCTGACAAGCTTCAGTGGTTTGGATTGGAGCTTCGATCTTGAGCAACCCCTCCCAAAATGGATTGCGACTTTCAGCTTCCCCGACGCTAGAAAAGGAGTAGCCTCAAGACACACTGCCAGTCGGGACTCGGGAGGCCTCGTCCAACCCTGCAGAGTTCCGCGTCTTTTGGAATCTGAGGAGCTGAAGCAGCTGTCGGCCGCCGAACGGCGGCAGGACCCTTTCGCCAAGTACCTGGTTGGTTGCTTGTTGTTACCCACCAGAGTTCCTGGACGTCATATTTTTCGTTTTAAGGGCAAGCACCGGTTGTTTTTGCCAATCCACTCTTGAAGTGAGTCGTCCAAGTTTATTGATGTCTAGGTGAACGATGAGTGAATAAGCTCTCCACCTACGGCGCACGTGTCTTTTTTGTTCTGCTTTGGGCCGGAACGGTCTGGGGTTTGTGGTTGAATGTTTGAAACTGGAGGTATTAATATTGGTCCAAGCAAACGGGGGTATCTCAAGAAGGGAGTCGATTAGGGATCTAGATGTCGCGTTGGCCTTCATAGTGCCAGTCTTAATTAGCTTCATTGTGCCTTTCAACACGTAAACTTTGGGCAGGGGGTCCCGGCATATTTTCTGGTGGGTGTCCTTTTGGTCGAGGACAAGCCCCGAAACTCCGTCAGGATCTGGCTGACCTGGAATTCACATGCTTGGCCGCCATGGCTCCAGACTGCTTGGCGCTGAGAGGAACTTCCAAGCCTGGAAAACCCAGTTGCCCAGCGGATTCCGCCCCTTTTTTCTTGTTATTTTTTCCGGGAAGGGCTCCCCTTGAAACTCAACCAACCAAAGCAGGATGCCTGTTTTTTGCTATGGCCAGCGGGCATCTGAGAAAACCTCAATTGGGGGGTATTCTTTAGGTTTCCTTTTCAGGAGCCATGCTTCTGCGGGCAGGTGAGAGTCGGGAATGCTTGGCGATTCACCAGCCAATCGAACGGGATTTCAGTCCCCACTTCTTTAGTTGACCAGCATGTATGCCTGCACAAATGAACAAGGAGAGAAT